TAAAATGTTGTCAAAGTACGCCCTAGTTAAATAAAAAAATTTATTTGAATACATTTCTGAAAACTGTATTTAATCTCTCAGTAATGCCCTGCCGTTCCCTTCCCCTGGTTTTATTGATGTAGTTGTATTTCCCTTTCATATTTCTGATGAAATTTCTCAACTCCTCATAGCTTTCTGCTAATGAAATGCAGTTTACATTCCTGTTTAGCTGTGGTTTCTCAGTGAACGCCGTGATCGACTGCATGGTCTTGAATTAATGGCATTAAGAAGCGAGGCGTCCGTTTGGTGATCTCAGTTTGACATATTGGGAATAAGTTGAGTCATTTTAAACAAACGTAAAAACTAAAATGACAGGCCTCAAAATTAGAGCTTAAACTGATTTAAAAAAAAAAAAGTTTTATTCTGCTAGATGTTGAATATTATGAAATGCAGAACTTTTTTTTTTTTTTTAAAGAAATCTTATATCAATTGTCAATCCAAAATATAAGAACACATTTTGCTGCTTTTAAAGAAAGAAGCACTCTAATATTTTGTGGTTTACAGGAAAACATCTTTTTAAAACAACTTTTCTTACCAAGCAAGAAAAGTTTGAAACCTCTGCGTTAACGAAGGTTTCCTGAATGATGCCCCATATTTTCAAATTTATTTGTCGTTATGGTAAAAGGATAAAAATAGAGGATCTTTGTTTTGCTCTGTCCAGCCTTCCTGTTATCTGCTGGAAGATAATTTCCCCTGCGGCATTAATGAAGCGTAGATACTCCTTCATATGTTGTAGAAAATAATTTCCTTTTCAAATCTTTTCTAAGCTCTTTGTGTTTTTTGATCGATTTTTCAGATTCTTTCACGTTACGATCATCCTGGAAGCTCGTTTTAATAAAAAGGCAGAACGTGCCGAAAAATGTCAGCTCTTCATTATAGTCAGTTTAACTTCTCATTGCGTTTTTCATAATGTGTTGTCATGGTAACCTTTCAGGTCACTGTCCAGGATGAGCAGAAGATGGTGTGACATGCTGCTTTGCTTACAAACAGCGAATATTGCCATGTCTGTAAATTATGTGCAACTTTCTCTCTGGGTTGCCAGATAAGCTCTTTTTTTTGCTTTCTTACTTCTAAGCAAATCGTAACGTGTTCTTTTTTTTTTTGTTTTTTTTACTTGCAAGTAAACCGTCCAAATGCAAATGAGCTGCCTCGCTTGCTAGATGAAGGCAAACTGTATGAGGAAATGAAGTTCGGCCCTTTTTAAGCAAACTAAAAGGCTCTTATGTGAAAGCTCTGGTCCTTTTTCTAGTTGTAACCCAGTCTACAGAGAATATCATTGTCTGTGCAAAGTGGTTTGTCATTTATCTACGCTGCGTTAAATGATCGGGAAAAAGATTCGATTTTTGCGTTTCCAACTGGCTGCTCATATAGGATCAGAGCTGTAAGTTGTAAA